GTAGAGGAGGAAGATCATGGGTATCAGTTAAGGCCTCATGACTCAATGGGGACTCTAGTTAGCATTGCAAGTTTCTCAAAATCAGTGACTCTGTTAGTTTGCCAGGGCTGCCATCATGAAATGCGATAGACTGGATGGCTTAAACCACAGAAATCTATTTTCTCCCAGCTCTGGAGTCTGGAAGTCTAAGATCAAGGCACCACCAGGATCGGTTTCCCCTGAGGCCTCTCTCCTTGGCTGGTGGACAGCTGCCCTCTTACCGCCTGTTGACAGTCATCCCTCGGGCACACATGCCCCCGATGCCTCCTGGGCATCATCCTAATCACCTCTCCTCCTGAGGTCCAGGCCAGACTGGATCAGTCCCACTCTAAAAGCCCTATTTGAATGTAATCATCTGTTTAAAGGCCCTATCTCCCAATACAGGCATATTCTGAGGTCCTGGGGGTTAGGACTTCAGCATGTCGATTTGAGGGGATACAATTCAGTCTACCACCATGGCCAACTGGAGTCCTGGAGCAGCTGGGTCTTGATAGAGTGAACTTACTGGGAAAAGTAAGTCGATTCCAGCAATGCAAGAAGTGGACTGTTGATACTGACATTGCCCCAGCCGGATCCTCCCTGCTGGGCACTAACCCTCAGGAGCTGTCAGTGTTGACCAGCAACAACTCACAGCCTCCCCCTTCTCTAGGGAATTACCTTCAGCTGACGGGAGTCTCCCACCCCACTTAGTCCACAGCCAATGACTAACTTTCCGAGGGGCAAGAGGCCAGCCCCTGCACCTCAAGATAAAACCCTCTGTGGTGTGTTTCATGACACAGTGGTCAGAGCTGCTGCAGAAATAGCTGGGAGGCACCACCAGGGCCCTAACGGGGGAGCAAACCCATGTGAGCGAGATGCCCATTCCTGGAGACAAGGGGAAGGGTCGTGGCAGAACACAGCCTGTGAAACTAAATACTGAAACTCTATGTGCTGACGTGGAGGAATCTCCAAGACGCGTTCATGAGGGATGGGGGAACAAGGTGCAGCACACAGTGCTGTTTGGTGGCTATTGCAGAAGTAGCCCTTTCTGGAAGGAAGAGTTTACCGTGATTAAAACCCCTGGGAGCAGAGTGGGTCGGGGACGAGGAGGCTGTATGTCCGCTCACTCACCCTCCATCTGTACTGATAAGGTTTTATCCTGTACATGTGTGGCTTTCCCCCAATGTTTTATTACAAAGATATTCATACATACAGGAAATCTGAAATAACTTCTTTATAAGCACCCATATACCTACCACCTAGATTCTATAATTCACAGTGTGCTGTGCTTGCCCTGTCATGGGTCTGCCTGTTTATCCAGCCTTCCATCCATCCAACCATCTTATTTTTTGATGCTTTTCAAAGTAAACTACAGATATTGTTCACTTCAGGATATTGGTTATCTTTAAATACTTCAGGATGCATTTCATTACCCAGAGTTCAACATTTGTTTATGTTCTTTAAGGAAAACTTATATGGAATAAAATGCACAAATCATTGCATATTTATATTTCATTTTTATGCCTGTCTTCTTAAACATAAAAAAAAGTGCAACTACGGGTGTTCATTGCTGCACTTTCAGCCAGCACTTATTGTGCCCCTACTGTGTGTGGCACTGTGTGGCGGCAAGCTGGAGCAACATGGTGGACATAGAGTTGCAGTTCTCATGAGCTCACTGTTGAAGTGCGGTGCAGATGAGGAGCTCATCAATGAATAAGTTAAAAAGATCATTGCTGGCTGTGATGGCAGCTCGGAATGTCAAAAAGTGGGGGTATGTAATGCAGAGACTGTAAGTCTGAGACAGGGAGAAAATGTAAGACGATCCCTCCAAGGAGGGGACATCTGAGCGGATGCCTGAATGGTAGGAAGATGCCCAGACACACCCCAGCTTTGACAAGTCCTGGCTGTTGCCTGGAACAAGCCTCTTTGCCACTCTGAGCTTCAGTTTCCTCACCTGTCACAGGGACGGAACAACCCTGCCTCGTGCAGTTGCGGAGAACACTAAATGAGGGAGTTGCTCTGCTTCTCATAGGCCCAGCCCAGGGGAGCGTGGAACAGACATCAGAGGCTACTCCCATGGCCGCTGCTGCCACTATCGATTCTGCTCCTACTATGTATAGAGCCCATGCTGGGTGCTGAGGACACAGGGGTGAGCCATACAGGTGTCTTCCTTGCAGGGTTCAAGTCTAGACCCGGCAGGGGTGTCCAACCTTTTGGCATCTCTGGGCCACACACATCAAATACACAAGCACTAACAAAAACTAAAGAGCAAAAAAAAGATTGTAAGTAAATTGACGACTTTGTGTTGGGCCACATGTGACCCATGGGCCACAGATTGGACACCCCTGGCAGAGGGTGGGACAGTTACAGAACAGGGCCATTAGAGCTTCAGGAGAAGTAGCTAGAAGTATCCTCATGGCACTAAGGGGGGAGTGACTTCCTCTGAGTGAGAGGTCCAGGAAGGCTTCCTGGAGAAGGTAACATCTTAGATGAGCCTAAAAAGACAATTGTGATGTCATCAGATGAGTGAGGGCAGGATCACATTCCAGGCTGAAAAACCAGCCCATGTAAAAGCAGAGAAAAATGAATGGACCTGTCACACAAAAAACAAAAACAAAAAACAAACTCAGGTCACTAGAGTTAGAAAACTAAATGGGAGACGGAGAAGGCAAGGCTGGGCAGAGAAGGGCTGGACCTGGTGGTGGGGGCACCCAGAGCTAAGGCTCAGAGCCGGACCTTCTCCTGAGCCATCGGAGCCAAGGACATACTTTATAAAAAGACACACCTGACACTCCCAGCAGAAGGGCTAAAACTAAAAAGACTAAGCACACCGCATGTTGGTGTGTAACTCTCATACACTGCAGGCCAAAGTGTTAAATGGTACAACCACTTTGGGAAATGTTCTGATAGTTTCTCATAAAGTAATCAAACCCCTCCCCTGTAACCCAGCAATCCCAATTCAGAAAAATGAAAACACTTATTCACAAAAAGACTTGTCTTGAAATATTCAATAGACACTGTATTCACAATAATCCCAAACTGGAAACAGCTCAGGTGTCCATCAACAGGAAAAAGATGAACACACACCCTGTAATGGACTCATGCAGTGGAACACTGTGCATCCGTGTGAAGGGAGGACCTACCAACAGCTGCGACCACATGGATAAACACCAAAAACATTAGGCTGAGTGAAAGAAGCCAGACACAATAGAGTATATCCTGTACGTTCCATTTACGTGAAGACCAAGAGCAGACAGAACCAGTTTTTGGTGGTTAAGAAAAAAATCAGAACCTACTTCCTTGGTGGAGGGTCCAGAGGAAATGGACTGGAAAAAGGCATAAGGAAACTTTTTGACGTGATGATGAATTTCTGTTATCTTAATAGGGGGTTGGCTTACACAGATGTATGCATTTGTCAAATCTCAGCAAAAGGTCACTTAAGATCAGTGCTTTTCATTGTATGTTGATTAAAATGTTTTCCATTGCAGCCCACGGGCTGGACAGTCCCCAGGATCACTTTAACGGTTCCAGAGAGTTCTCTGGCTAAAGATCGAAGCCACATGTGTCAAGTAATGTTGACAATATTGTCTAAAGTCATATTCCCACTGTGCTTAATGTTTTTCTTCACTTTCAGTCTCTGCGTGGCTCTGTGAGGGCTGGGAGGAAGAAGGCACCCGCCAGTCTGGGCCTGTCTGTTCCGAATAGTCACTTCCACTGTCATCCCCAGAGCCCTCCAGTCCCAAGTTGTCTAAACAATGTCATCATCAACTTTTTTTGGAGACAGACCTTTTATTTAAAAATAAAAGAAGTTCACTTATTTATTTTTAGAAAGAGGGGAAGGGAAGGAGAAAGAGAAGGAGACAAACATCAATGTGTGGTTGCCTCTCATGCGCCTCCTACAGGAGACCTGGTCCACAACCCAGGCACGGGCCCTGACTGCAAATTGAACCAGCCACGCTTTGCTTTGCAGGCCCACCCGTGCTCGTTCCACTGAGCTACACCACCCAGGGCTGGAGACAGACCTTGAGGGCCAGGACAGATGTGGCATCCACTTCCCTACCAGCGCACGATTTTGATTTCATTCGGTTCAACGTGGGTGTCATGGAGGAGGCACTTGGTGTTAGATGAACTCAGACCAGAGAAAGGTGCACCTTGGCCTCCTGTGAGCTGAAAGCCCAACCGCAGGCAAATGTTGAACTCTAGGTAATGATGCCTGAGCTGAGAAACTTAGTGGGGAGAGTACTGACATCTGCAACTTGGGTTGAAATACATCACACCGGTAAGTTGGATGGGCAGAATTCAGGTGGTGAGTAGACAGCTCTGCGTCTAAAAAATCTCATAAGAAAGGATTGCGGGGAGGGAAGATGCCTCTGACTACAGTGTGGACAGGAAATTTGAGGGGCCAGGCCAGACTCAAGGAGGCCAGAGAGGAGGCTATGGCAGCTGCCCCAGTCAATAACTGGTGAGGCCTGAGGTGAGGCCAGGTAGTGGGGGTGAAGATGAGGGAGACCAGAGACTCCGTTTGTGGGGACACTCAGGAGGTGAGAGATGGAGTTGGGGAATGAGTGGAAACAGGCCAGAAATCAAGCCCTCTGTGGAAAGAGACCCTAGAACGACCTCCTCTCTCAAGAGCAGGAGACTCTGAAAGTGCAGAGAAGCAGACTGTTGGGGGGCAGACACAGCGGGCAGAGAGGTGTCCTGAACGTCCCTATCTAGCGTGAAGGAATACATTGAAATGAGTTCCCACGATGCTCCCACCTTCAGACTGGTCTCCTTGTTTACCCACTAATTCCCTCTTTCTCCTCTTCTAGAGAACTGGGTGACTAAGTGAGTAAATGTTAGCACAGGAACTTAATCCAATGTGGGTGACTTCAAGGGAGGTGCCCGCTGGGTCCCTGTCCTCCCCTCCCAGTCCCTGGTAAGTCCATATAAGTGAAGAGCAAGACATTTGCAGTCCAGGCAGGTTGCAAGTCTGGAAAAGGTGCAAAGAATTTCAAGAACACACTTCATTCGTGTTTCAGAGCCTCCAGTGCCAGAGGACACAGCTGCCCACAAGGTAAGAGATGTGTAATCTGGCTCGCACACTCAGAAAGGGCTCTGAAGCATTTCTTGATGCATGATAGGTAGCTTGGTGCAGAGTTTTCCTCGGTGGGAGAAGACAATTGGCCTTCCCACTCCTTCTCAATCCTTCCGATATGGAAGGCTCAGCAGGATGCTAGTGTGTCTTAGGCAAAGCTCCAAGTGCGGGCTATTGCCTCCAGGGGCCTGGAGCAGGCTGCAGGGCTGGAGCTCAACAGTACATTTCTGTTTATTTTCACTAGGACTCTAGAAAAAGTATTTAGGCCCTGGCCAGCACGGCTTTGTTGGAATGGTGTCCCATAACTGAAATGTCACTGGTTCAATTCTCAGTCAGGGCATATGCCCAGTGTAGACTCTCTCTCTTCCTTCTCCTCTCTTTCTCAAATAAGAACAAAATAGAAATTACTACTAAAATATAGAACAACGATCTCTTAACACTGACAGAAATCGAGCTGAATGGAAGTCTGACAACTATAGAATTAAAGAAACCACATCCACCCAGATTTGTAGAAGGGGCACAGATGCAAAACAGGCTGGTTCCACATCCCCATGCAGTGGATAAAAATTTGGGAGGGATATCTTGGGAGCAAGGAGTCCCAGCCCCATACCCAGTCCTCCCAGGAAGGTAAGTCCCCACAGCTTCTAGCTGCAAAAACCAACAGGGATTAAAACCATGAAAGAAACTTTTGGAGCCCCAGTTCCTCTTAAGGAACCTACACACAGACTCACTCAGACTCACTCCCTCTGTGCTGCAGCACCGAGGAGGCAGCTTAAGGGGCACCAATGGTATGCAGGGGGAGGCTGAGGTATCCAGAATCAAGGCAAGCAGAGACCATTGTCCCTTTCCTGGGCCCTCTCCCAACAGAGCCACCAGACTAGTGCCAAATCTAAGATTCCATCTGCACCTTGGCTAACACTGCTTGACCCACCTTGGAGATCCCCAGAGATCAGCACCACCCAATTTGTGGACCCATCCAAGCTGCTTTTACATATAAATGACTGGTTTTGGCTTAGGCTTCACAACTTCCTAAATCCTCTCAAGAAACAGCTGGTTTTTGTGAGGCCCAGGCTCAGTACTAGCGGCCTAGATTCACAGTTTAGCTTCACCAGGGAATCTCCAAGCCCAGCACAAGTAGCAGCCATCTCAGATTGCTCTATAGCTCACAGAGGGGGGACCTTCAGCAAAACAGCAGGTCAGGGCTGAACTTGGCCTGCACCACCTGGGAAACCCCAGGAGCCAGCCCACCCAATGGACAGCTACAGAACATGTCTGAGCACCACCACCCTGCTCTTGGATAGCTGATTCTCCACAGAGGGGGAAGGGTGGTGGTCAGTGATCACAGCCAGGCCTCACAGCTGACTGGCCTGGATAAATCCCTCCTATTGATCTGCCAACAGCAACCAAGAATCAATTATAAAAGGAGGGTATACTCAGCACACACAAAGGGCACACCCTGAATACTCAGCTTGAGTGATAGGTACCCTATACTGTGCCAATGGACCCTGTGCCATTGGACCCTACAGGACACCCACTACATTAGGTCACACTACCAAGACACCAAGTCAAAGCAGCCCTACCTAATACATAGAAACAAACACAGGGAGGCTGCCAAAATGAGGAGACAAAGAAACATGGCCCAAATAAAAGAACAGAGCAAAACTCCAAAAAAAATCTAAACAGAATGGGGGTAAGCAATCTACCAGTCATAGAGTTCAAAACACTGGTTATAAGGATGCACAAGGAAATTTGTGAGGACCTCAGCAGCATAAAGAAGATCCAGTCAGAAACAAAGGATACACTAACTGAGATAAAGAACAATTTACAGGAAAACAACAGTAGAGTAGACGAAGCCAAGAATCAAATCAGTGATTTGGAACCTAAAGAAGCAAAAAACAACCATTCAGAACAAGAAGAAAAAATAATTCAAAAAATGAGGATAGTATAAGCAGCCTCTGGGACAACTTCAAGAGGTCCAACATTCACCTCATAGGGGTGCCAGTGGGAGGAGAGAAAGAGCAAGACATTGAAAATCTATTTGAAAAAAAATAATGAAAGAAATCAGTGAAGGAAATAGACATGTGAGTTCAGGAAGTACAGAGAGTCCCAAACAAGATGGATGCAAAGAGGCCCACCCCAAGATACATCATAATTAAAATGCTAAAGGTTAAAAATAAAGAGAATCTTCTTCTCTTTATTGCCTAAGGGAGTGGGGGTGCTGGGTGGGGAGGGACTGGGGGAGAAAATCAGGACAACTGTAATAGCATAATCAATCAAATACAGTTTTTTTAAAAAGAATAGAAAAAAGAAAAAGTATTTTACCCCCCTGAAGGGGCTTGTCCAAACCTTACCCACAAAATGAGGTTGAAATAGTGCTGACCTAGGGCTATCCAATTCTCTGTTATAAATAGAAAATTAGCCCTGGCTGGTGTGGCTCAGTAGACTGAGTGCCAGCCTGTGAAGCGAAGGGTCACGGGTTTCGATTCCTGGTCAGGGCACATGCCTTTGTTGCAGGCCAGGTCCCCATCTCTTTCTCCCTCCCTCTCTATTAATAAATAAATAAATAAATAAAATCTCTTAAAAAAATAGAAAATCGAGTGTATTTAAGTTTTAAACATGATCATATTTGCCAAAACATATGTTGAGTAAACAGTAGTCCCGCGTTGGCAGAGTGCTGAACGCAAAGGAGATGCGGCCTGCAGAGGAGGGCGGCACGCAGACAGCAGCTGTTTGGGAGATGATGTCTGAAAGATTAAGAGCACAGGTGTTGAAGTCAGATGCACCAGAGTTCAAATCCTGGCCTCTGGTCCCAGTGGCTGTGTGACCTTAAGCAGGTCACCCAGCCTTTCTGCACCTCCATTTCCTTATCTGTACAATGGAGCTAATAGCAGTCAACTTGTGGGCTGGAGGCTCTGCCTGGCAGGTAGTGAGCACTCCGAAATGGTAGGGTCGTTCCTATTCTATACCAGGCAGCCCTTTCCTTTATACATAATTCCCGAAGTTAAGCAAGTGAAATGTGAAAGTCGAACAAGGAGACTTACACAGGAAGGGGGTGTCTGTGTGTGTCTGTGTGTGTGTGTGTGTGTTGGATTTTGGGGGAGAGCGTCCAGTTGGAGCTAAAACCACTTCAACCCTCATAACATTCTGATGGCAGAGCTCCAGCCTTCCATACCTATTGTTTATTTTTGTTCTCTGTCCCCACAATACAGACAATTGAGCTCCGTGGGGTTTTTTTATATTTCTTTGTCCATTTCTGGCTCACTCTGGTCTCCCGAAGAGAATGTGAGCCCTTGGGGGGCACGTGGGGTAGGGGGTTGTTTGCTCATTGCTCTGTCCATGGCACCCAGAACTGGGTCCACACACAGTGTGTAATACAATTAGCCAACTGACCAGCTGACCTTCTGGCTGACGCATCTGGCGTCTCACGGTCCTGAGTTACCGAACAGAATGGGGAGCACGCGTCCCTCTGTCTGAGTTTCCCTTTCCTGGGGCACTTTCCAATGTCCAGCTGACTGCCACCCTCCCACATGCTGCTCGAGTGGACAAGAATCACAGTGCTCAGCCCTTCGCCTGCATTGACCCTGACTGTGACCCCACCAGGAGTCTGGTTTAGTCAGAGTTTGTTTGTGTTAAAGCTTATCTATTCCTATCCCACAAAAGAGAGATTATGCCCGTGAGTTTCCAGTTCTGATTTCTGTCTTTCGTGCCCCACGGTTCCGGGACTAGAGTGACTGGGCTTTTGTTGCAGCTGTCAGCCACGTCACCGCAGTGTTTCCCCAGAATCCTGGGTTTCTGGATCAGCCCTGGGAAAGGAATGTGGCTTCCTCCTGTCCTTTGTCCTCTGCCTGACGTTTATTTACTCATTTTCAAGCTATTTCATAGAATTGTTTGCCGATCAAAAAATGCATTCAGTATAAAATTTTTTTTTAATTTTGAAAATACAAAGAGGATGGTAAGAGTCACCTGTGATAACATCACAAAGAAATAAGCATTGTTACATTTTTGGGGAAAAAAAAGAATAAAAAATAGAGTAAATAATTTCTTTTTTTCACTTGCTAAGAGTCTTCAATAAATTTCTCTATATTGTTTTGGGATGGCTGCCTGGTGGCAAAATTAAACAATTTATTTAATAATTCCTCTGTTGCTGGACATTTAAGCTGGTCCCAGTCTAGGGCTCTAATATGTAAGGCTGTAATGAGCAGCCTAACAGTTCATCTGGCCCACACCACTGGGCAACTCCCTCACACAGACCCTACACAGACCCTGGGCCAATGGGTATGGGCTTTCCTAAGAACAAATTTGTCCCCCAAACAGGCCATTCCTCACTGCATATTTACCCAGCTTTTTCTGTGATAAGCCCAGGTTATGCCAACCTACCTAACCCACAACATAAAGGAACCCAACATCCTTATCTAACAGTTGGGGAAACTGAGGTCCAGAGATAAGAAGACTTGTCCAAAGGCATTAGCCAACTTCCTGTTGTCTGGAGCTTTTCTCCTGACTCTGTTATCTCTTTGCTATTTTGCAAGAAAATGCAAAACTTCAACAAGGAGGCAGGTGGTTGCAGCAAGAATGTAGATATCTATACCGCTCGCTCATGGCAGACATTGGTAATCAATCATCACACTCTCCCCGCTGCTGAGTCCAGATTCTGAGGGCTTCTCCAAAGCCAGTACCAGCCAACAAGAGGTGAAGTGTTTCTCCATTCTGGTGGTCTTCTTGGTGCCAACAGAGAGTCTTTGTAAATCATGGACTTGAGGCCACTCAAGTGAATTCCTCAACGTGGCTTCCTTCTTGCCTTCCAAGTCAGTGACAGTCCACAAGACCTCCGAATTTCTACTTGTCCAGCCCTTCCATGTCCTTAGAAACCATTTCTGGTTTTCTACAGAACCACAGACTTCCCAGAAAAGGAAGACCCCCATCCCAGCCAGAGGTGATGGGGTGGGACCGAAGGGCAGAGCACAGGCGCCAGGGTCGGC